TGACAGTTAATATCTTGCGGGACTAATCTAAGTAAACATTGCCAAGTACAAATCGAATAAGATTTGGTCAATTAAATGTGGATAAAAATAGTATAGGAAGTAAGAAAATAAGTCATTCTATATTAATATAGCGCACTCCGTTCCAGATCATCTAGCACATTTTTAGGTCAGTGATGACTATATTCGATTACTCGGTGACCATTGATTCCTCACATTCTTGTCCTTCCCGGATGTCAATAGCCAAGCGGAATAAGTATTCATTGGACGGCGTCTCGTGCAGTTGTAGAAGTAATATTGGGACATTCGAGGTTTTCAGAAAGATATTTTTTCATCTCGCTAATATTCATGATGAAATCCCTAAAAATTAAATATCACAAAAAAAACAATCTCTTGTTCTTACCGCGTCTTGTCCATCTCGCCTGTCTTCCCGCGCACTGGAAAGCAAGGTTGGTCTTGCTCTCTTTTCGCTTGGAGGCGTGTCATATAATGATTCAGTGGCATTTGTTTTGGGGGTGCTGCAAACAATCACATTATAATTGGTTTTAATCAGTCTAGATGACTTGATGGAGCTAAAATCGCCACTGAGCAAATTAGCATACTTGAACTACCTGGCGATGGAAAAAGCTCACCGTTTTTTCAAGACATAATAGAACTGAATCTATAGCCCCCCACCCTGCCCTTGATTTTAGTCTTTATCGCTGGCGGCCGGCTCCTAAGAATATCTTCCTTTAAAGACGGAAAATTTTGTTGCACCTCATCTCGTCCTCCGGTTCCAAGTAGCCAACGAGGACAAAAATGCCATCATTTACAATGCAATGTAAGCGATTTATAGCCCGTCAAGCTTATAGTTATAACTTCCCACATTCCATAAGGCATAAACTTTTTGAGATATTCAAGATTTTTCCAAATTAACTAGTAATTAATAGCTGACCAGCTGTATACCAACCTCGTACCCAGGGCTAGTCACGAATTGAAGGCAGCGTCGACTTCAATTCGCGACTAGCCCTGGGTACGAGGTTGGCTGTATACTACAACTGACCCAAGGGCCAGGGTGTGAATACTTAGGGACCATTCATTTTTATGACGGGGGGTGGGCTGGCAAAAAAAGGGGGTGGGTCATGAGGTATTTTTGACCGAAAAGGGCGGCCACCTAAAAATATTGGTTCAAAAGGGAGGGGGGTGGGGGTCCAGTTATTTATTATAGTGGTATTATAGTGGAGAAAAATTTGACATGTAATGATTATTGTTACCACAGGGAGCGAGCAAGGCAGCAAATTTAATTCATGTATAGCTAGCAAAATTCTCAATTTTAATCAACAGATAGACCCAAAATGCAATGCACAAATACCCAAAATGCAATGCACGCAGCTAATATGAAAAATAATCAAACATCTACCTTATAATTTTTTACATGAACTTGCCAATAAATTTTTGTCATATTTCAATTATGTACATTTTAATAAAAAAGATAATTAACGAGTAAGTGATGTAGCAACGTTACGTTTACGGAACGTTTCGCATATGCTATGTACACTAGTTTATACTAGGTATTTCAGATACATGGTTTAATTTAGTCGGTTTACCATGTCAAGTCCGAGTCAAATATCCGAGTCACTAGCTGTTTAGAGGTATTTGTAGTTCATTGACGTAGTACCCTAACCCTATTCCTAACCTTAACCCTATACTCCTAACCGATTTCACTCGTCAACGGGGAAGCTCTGCTAGGCATGTCCCGATTGTGCTCGGCAACTTTTGAGCAACTTTTTGCGTTTGGAGCACTTTTTTCGGCTCGAGCAACTTCAAGCAACTTTTTCCTTTTTGAGCAACTTTTTACTACACTCTTAGTAGCGAAAAATGGTATGACCCCCAGCTTTAGCCTCTTCGGCGCTCTGCAGCTTAATGGGTTAACCAAAAAATCTGACATGTCTTTAGTTAACCCATTGCGCCCCAGTGCACCCTACTTATTTTTTTGCTTGTTTAACGCCAGTCGTCAACAAGAAACTCTGCAGCTTAATGGGTTAAATAGGCATGCATATTAATTGTTAAAATCGCAAGTAAATGAAAGATCTGATGCCTTTTACAACAAGTTTAAAGAGCTTATTTCTATACAGTACTGTACATTTATTACAATATTGTTGTTGCTGTTGTTGTTGTTGTTGTTGTTGTTGTTGTTGTTGTTGTTGTTGTTGTTGTTGTTGTTGTTGTTGTTGTTGTTGTTGTTGTTGTTGTTGTTGTTGTTGTTGTTGTTGTTGTTGTTGTTGTTGTTGTTGTTGTTGTTGTTGTTGTTGTTGTTGTTGTTGTTTGTTGTTGTTGTTGTTGTTGTTGTTGTTGTTGTTGTTGTTGTTGTTGTTGTTGTTGTTGTTGTTGTTGTTGTTGTTGTTGGTGGTGGTGGTGGTGGTGGCGGCGGTGGCGGCGGTGGTGGTGGTGGGTTTACTATTTTTTAGAATTCATGTGAAGGGGGTCATTGAATTTTTTTGTGATCCAGGGGGTGGGGCAGGACATTTTGTTTAGTTGTTAATTGAATTTTGCCAACCCACTCCCGGTCATAAATAATGAATGGTCCCTTAATTGCCAAGAAAATCACATTTAAAAAACATTGAAATATCATTGTACTGTGTACTGCCGATGTGACTCAGACACGGATAGAAGCTTAAGAATAGTATCTTAGTGAATAGTGAACTTATTTAGCCACGGAGGCCTCTCATCGAAAATAAGATGATCTTCCCAGACGCCGTGACATTTGAATTATTTACAATATTTACAAGGAGAATGAGAAATTAAAGCTATAGCCTATATACATAACAAATTATTCTACTGTATTCGAGACTATTTTTCCTAAGATGTTTCATCACTCTGACCTAAAGCTCTTCCTGATCACAGAATTCGAAACATACTATCATTGGTCACACAAACATTACCTTAGACAAAAAGTAAATACTGCAGTCTAAAGCCTTGGTTCACATATGCCGGTTGGTAGCTTTAAAACGTAAATTATGTGAACATTTGTTCGCCGATTGCCTCCAGTGCCACAGATACATCGGCGGTTGGCCGGGAAAGTTGAGTTGACTTGAGGTCAACTTTGCCGGTATTTCGGCGGCAAGTAGAGGCATATATGTGAACCAGGCTTAATTTAAAGAATGGACTTGATGGTAGTATATCTGAAATACTAAGAAATATAATAATGAAATGACGACTGATCTCAAAAGCGAAAATAGTAGACTTACGATAGACTTGTAAGTGGTACGTAGTCTACTGCATTATGAATTCGTTATTTATCAGCATAATATGTCGTTAACAAGAACATTTTGTTACCTGTTGGTTAGCCATTTTTAAACGTGAAAATTGAGCATAAACTGCAGTCCTCAAAGACACAACTGTATCGCTCTACGCCAGCTAAAATATAAATACAAATGATCGGGGGAAGTCCCTAAGGAAGGAGGCTTCCTGGCGAGATCATGTTTCATAAAATTTTGTTTTTTTCATTTCGAATTTTACACATAGCATAGTGAAGTAACGTTCTTTTATTATCAGAATTTCTACAACACTAGTTTCGTGCGAAGCTAGAGGCTATATAATTCTGAAATCAAAAACAGAAAAATGTTGAAGATCTTACGTGACCGATGGGAAATTCCCTGGCTTAATTTGTTTCTTGAATTATGAACTAAATATTAAATTACTACAGTGAACTGATTGTTACGCGGTTCAAAGCAGAGGATTTAAAAAGATGCACTGGTCATGCACAACTAATTCCTATATATACGTTTATTCAAACAGTATCAGTTTAACATATTTCTCCTTTGGCTATACAAATTTGCATAATTATTATTAATTTTATTCATCATTTATTATTTGCATGTTAGACTAACAGTAACAATCACAACGCTTTATACATTACGGTGACCCAGGAGGGCCATCGCTTAATTATAAAATAAAGTAACACTAAAAGAAAAAACTCACAACGCTAGTCAACATAATTACACCAGTGAATGAAGGCATCAACTATTTCGCTGACCTCAGAATGACATTTCGTCAAAACTTTTTTCTTCAAGATTGGTTTAGAAACAAATTTGGAGTAGGATTAAGTTAGGGTTAGGGTAAGGATTAGGGTTAGAGTTGGTGTTTGGAGTAAAGTTAGTGTTAGTAAAACCGTTGCTTTGTTACGTTTTGTCACTCTGAGGCCAGCGAAATAATCTCTTCTGTGAATGAAGTCACAACACAAATACAAATGTCGCGACGCAAGTAAAAAATGTCAGCAACGCAAGTAAAAAAGTCACAACGCAAGTAAAAAAGTCACAACACAAATAAAAAAAGTCACAACGCAAGTAAAAAAGTCACAACACAAATAAAAAAAGTCACAACGCAAGTAAAAAAGTCACAACGCAAATAAAAAAAGTCACAACGCAAATAAAAAATGTCACAACGCAAGTAAAAAATGTCACAACGCAAATAAAAAAGATATGACCTAAAACTCCACACGTGTCAGAACACGAGTGAACACAAGTGCACATGAGTGAACACAAGTGAACACAAGTGAACACAAGTGAACATGAGTGAACACGAATGAACACGAGTGAACACGAATGGAACATGAGTACTGTAACACAAGTGACCACATCGAGTGAACACAGATGGAACACGAGTGAAATACAAGTCTTAATTAAACGACTAAAAACACTAATAATTAATCACTGTAGTTAAATCCTTAACTGTAATTAGTTAACTACACGACTTAACTGCGTTGCACAAAACGTAGTTAGTCGGATAGTTAACTAATCACGTAGTTAACTGTGCGTGGGGCTTGCGTGGGGCGTTTAAACACAAAATTACATAAAGTAAGCAGCGAGTAACGACCGCTGACACACATTTTCAACATGACTGTGGACTCGTATTTTGCAAATAGGCGGGAATTTTATTCAAAACACTAGAAAACAGTGAAAAATAGACAAGAAAACAAGGAAAAACCGCCACAAAAATCATAAAAGAATGCAGTTTTCCTTGAG